TTGATGACTTTAATAGTTATTTTTTTCACTTGTAATGAAATAAAATTAGCCATATCACTCGCATACACTAATTTAACTTTATGAAGGTCTTTATTAAGAAAATAATAAATATCAAATAAATTAATTGATATTAAAGTTCGATTACACACATTAAACCAACGAGTAAACGAGCTAAATGTAACAAATATATCATATTCAATAAATCATTTTAATGGTTTATTTTTTTGATGTAATTTATCTAACTCACTTAAATTAAAAATATATGATATTCCATTATTAATATTGATATTATCAATTTCAAAATAATGTATGTTATTTAATGTGTAAGATTTATATACTGGTTTATATTTATTAATATGTTTTTTAACAATATTACTATTTTTTATTTTTAATAATCTAACATCACCAAAATTATAAGATAATACATGGTTTTTAATTTCTATTGGTAAATAATAAAATATCATATAATATTAATATATATTTAATTATTTAATTATTTAATTATTTAATTAGTAATTTTCAAATATTGAGAAAACTTTTTCATAAACATTTTATCAGGGTTCTTTTCTAAAAGGTTAATATATAAAAAACTATGCGGTTCATCAGTGGCAGTCTCATATATTTTATAAATTAGTTTCTTGCTTTCATGTAAATTATCGCTTCTAACAATTGCTGATAATTCATCTTGCAATATTTCTATCTCTTTAAAATTTCTAACTTTATAATAAAACAAATGACTTATATTTACCCTAATAATTGGTGGTACGGTTGATGATTTTTGAAGACTTACAAGTGTTGATATTCCGCTATGACGACCTCTACAAAATAAAGAATTTAACAATTTGTTATTTCTTGTTATTGCTGGATTATCAGATACATCATCTAAAATTACTAAAATGTTAAATAATTTCTTCGTTCCTTGTTTTTTCTGGTATTCAATTATTTTATTTTGAGTTTCTATAACTCTTTCTAAATCTTCAACATTGAACTCATCCCACCAACACGGTTCTTTATCATTATCTACTTTCAAACCTTCTTTAATGTATTTTTTAACAGGCAACCAAATACTATCTAAATTTACAGATGGAGACCAGATAAAAATTCTTTCAAATGCTCCTCTATAAATATCAAGTATCATTGATACAAGTAAAGTTGATTTTCCACTTCCAGATGGACCGACAATCATAGCTCTCATAGGCAATTTAGGGACGACCTCATGCTTACTTTGCTTAAAGTCATATTTGATTTCATCAATTGGTTTTACATCAGGCATAATAAAAATAATATTATAAATACTTATAAAATAATATAATAAGATTATATCATAATGACAATAGAATTTATAGAGTCTATTAATTTAAGTGAAGTAGATAGTATTCGGAGGATATATAAATTTGGTGATATCTTAGTTCCAGATACTGGCCAACTATATTATGATACGATTTTATTGTTTTTATCGATAATTAAAAAACAAAATAATATAATATCTAAATCATCAATCGAAAACGAGGATACCCTAAATTATAATAAATTAGTAAATTTTATGAAAGATTCTTCCTATATATATACAAATGAAATGATAAATAGTGTACAAGAAATTATTAATAATAATATTCTAGATGTTAGTATATCAACTGCAGTAAAACTTACTAAAGAAAATAGTTTAAATACATATTCTATTTAATATTAATGGAACATCATTTTTTATGATATGCTGGCAGTGAATATCATAAAAATGGAACAGGCTTTCCATTGTTTTCAATCAATAAGCATTGAAGCTAATTAGTTTGTATCTCTCTCGCGTGTGCAATGAAAACCCCAAGTGCTGTGCCCCACCAATATTCTATTATGCATGAAAATAATAAGATTAAATAACTATTTTATCTTATTATTTATATGACTATTATCCATTGCAATTGTGGTAAAACTTATGATGACAAATATTTATTTAAACATCTAAATTCAAAACATCATCAGAAATTTGTAGAATATAGATGGAATAAAGACGATACAATGAAAAAACTTTACAAGAAAAGAAAGACAGAAATGAAAAATAATTTATCTTATTATTTAATATGAAAAGGAGTTATACAGATTATATTAATATAATAGATGAAATGGAGAATATAGAACAAGTACTAATAACTGATAATAGATGTAAAAAAATATGTTATTTTATTTTAGAATTAATTAAGTTTTTGATACAATATATTAAACATATAAATATTAATATAAATGCCAAAAAAGAAAAACAAAAATAATAAGACAGGTTTAAGTGTTTCTTCAACAGATGAAGATAGCGGAGAAATTGTTAAAGAAACATCAGTATTTGAGTTTTCTTGTCCGATGTGTAAAAGGGTGTTAGAGATGAAAAATGAATTAGACATAAAAAATAATAAATCATGTAAATGTTCATGTATTCCTACAACTTTCAAAATTAGTAAACATGATAAAAAAATGAATATTGATAAAACTAAAGACAGCATCAACTTAGAAACTGATGTCCATAGTATAACTTTTAAATTTGGTAGGCAAGCAACACCAACCGATAATAATGAAAACGAAACTCAGGAAACTGTTAAACAAATCATGAAAAATTAGTATTTAAAGAGTAGATTTAACATAATTGCACTTTATAAATATAAATAAATAAATATTTAAATAAATATCTAATTATTTATATAATCATAATGCCAACTATGAATGGACAAGACCATAGAATTATAACTTTTGACAATGAAGAAATTAAAGACCTATTCGATGGTGATAAAAACTTTGCTAGACAATTGAGTATAGAATATTTTTATTGGTTAGATGCTAAATTTAATAATAAATATTTTATGAAAGGTATAACTAAACCGGATAAATTTGATAAAATGTTGAAGTTTTTTGAAATTACAGGTAACTATGAAGGTTTAATAAAATTGAAAAATAAAATTGATGAAAGACTCTTAGAATATAATTTATTTACATATATAACATTAAATTATTCAGGTAAATTGTATAATAAATAAATAATTATCTAAATAAATATATAGTAATGTCTGAAAATGAGAATTATACTATTAATGATTTAATGAAGAAGATAACATTAATTGGTAAAAATATCAAAACCTTAAATGATATGATTAAATCGATTGATGACAAAATGAAACCAGTTGAACGCAATGAAGATAAAGAAAAAATCGAAAATATATTTCAAGCAAAATCTATAGGAAGACCAACGGGTGATTATCCTACAAAGCAAAAGAAATACTGTGATATGTTGAATACAGGAAAAATCAAACAACCTAAAAGCACCACTTTAGAATTTTACAAAATTTCAAAAAATGATGATGGAGTATATGTATTAGAATAATTAATATCTAAATAATTCTAATAAATGAATTTATTAGAATGATTTTCAGGCAGTGGTTCTGTTGGTAAAGTTGCTTGTGACTTAGGTTTTAATGTGATATCATTAGACTTGAAAAATGCTGATATCAACACTGATATTTTGGAGTTGGATTACAAACAGTTTGACAGAAACCAATTTGATTTTATTTGGAGTAGTCCCCCATGCACTGAATACAGCATAGCAAAAACTCAGGGAATTAGGAATATCGAATATGCAAATAGTATTGTCTTAAAAACTATTGAGATTATCAAATATTTCAATCCTAAATATTTTGTAATCGAAAATCCACAAACTGGATTATTAAAAAATCAGGAGTTTATGGATGAGTTTGAATTTAAAGATGTAGATTACTGTAAATATGGATTTAATTATAGAAAGAGGACAAGGCTATGGAATAACATTACAACTTGGAAACCTAGAGAATTATGTAAAAAGGATTGTGGCAACATCAGGAATAATAAACATATTGAAACAGCACAACGGCTACCATCAGGCACTAAGGAAAAATGGGGAGACAATCCAACAATACATAAGCAGGAAGACCTATACAAAATACCTGGCGAATTGATTTGTGAAATCTTGGTGAGTTTGAATTAGGGGGGTTCATCACAACATCCACCAACATACATCCATCGTGGGAAAGGCGAAGCCTTGAAAGGGGAGAAGCACGCCATCAAAAGAACCAACTCCCTACACACGCACAAATCCGCCAAGAGGGAAACCAAAAGGGAAGTGTCACTGTCACGACGGGGGCTTGTCACTGTCATGACGGGGGCTTGTCACTGTCATGACGGGGGCTTGTCACTGTCACGACGAGGGCTTGTCACTGTCACGACGGATTAAAGTATAGCGTTTTATATATTGAATTATTATAATTTGCTTATCTCTTTCAAAGTGCGTTGTTTAGACTTGGTATGCTTCTTCAATTTTTTCGTGCTTTGGCTGTTTGTTTTTGTTTTGTTTGATACTCTTGTGATATTTTTTGTTGGTATGTTGCTTTGATTTTTGTTGATGTGTGTTTTTGAGTTTGGGTTCTTTGATGATTTAGAGTGTTGCTGTTTTGTTGGTATGCTTGTTTGAATTATTTAATGTTGTATGCTGTGATTAAATATTTTTGTTGTTGGTTGTGATTATTTATTTTGTTTGCTTGTTGTTCTGGATTTTGTTTTCTGTTTGTTGTGTTGCTGTTGGAAAAAAATAGTAGAAAGAATAATTCTTTGAATTCTCCTTTTACTATTTTTTCACCCACGGCTTCCATCTCCTCTTCATCTATGGAATTTCTTGTTCACCAGCAATAGGGGTATACAAGGGTCATCTAGTAACTGGACTGGACCCAATTCACAAGAACCCTCCCTCCGCCGGCCATACCCAGGTCAGAGGAGTTGATTTTGGGGACCTTCCCAACCCTAGTTGACCTGTTTGCGCCGTCATCTCGCGATCATTTTGGGTACTCTTCCTCCAACTAACATGGCACCTGTGGGGAGGTACCTGGAAGATTCATTTCCTTTTGAAGGGAGGAGGTTTCCTTTTGAAGGGGGACCCATTATCGGTCAGTTGCCATAGTTGGAGGGTAGATCTCTCGGATGGGTCGGAAGCCCGCCAGGACCATCTCCACCGATGTGCTCTTCGGGCTCTTGAAGAAGGCGGTGAAGCCGGGCTCCCAGTCGAGGCCAACCGGGCACGCACGGAACCCGCCAAAACTTCTCCCGGAACGAGTGAACCACCGGAAGCGCTTCGGGGATTCGGCCTCGGGGATTTGGTTCGGAAGGTGAGTCCCAGAATTCAGATATGGCTGTGGTGGTCAAAACCAATGGGATCCCATTTTGGGCTAGGTGCACCACTCATTTTAGAACCTATTTTAGTGGTTGGATTGAATCGGATGTTCGCTGGGGGTAACCGATTTGGATTTCGACCCATGGCCAGATCTTCAAGGTCTCATGTCAAGGGCCCAGAAATCCCAGTTTCGGCCGACGCCGAGGGCCCACGTGTGGTTTGGCTTTGCGAGAGCTATCCACTCGAATGGCTCCAAGTCTGCGGTTGGGCATCAGGTGTCGAACCTGTTGAGACTGATCACTTGGCTCAAATGGGGAAGCAAACTTGGGCGAGATGTTCAAAACATGGAGCATGCTTCAAGTTGGACTGTGGACACTTGTTGGACACGTGACTACTAGTGTGGACTGGATCAAGCACTTTGCAATCCTGGCAGGATGAACAGTTATGAACGTGTTGCTTACCGCTTCAGCCAACGCAGACACACATGAGAGCTTCATACCCTTCAGATTCCATGCTGATAGTATCATTTGCCTGGCTGGCTTGATAGGCTGTCAAGTCATGAAAGTTGCCACGCGTTTGTTTGCTACCCGTGCAAATTTGGTTTAAACGGCAAAACCGCAGCACCCTTTCAAGGAAAAATGCATGAGGATGTTGAAACAATAGTGGTTTAACCATGGACAAGCGGGGTCGGCCCAACCCTGCTTTCAACCGTTAATGTCATTTGCAAGTCTTGTCTGGACGTTCGTCCATTGCAAACAGTTTCAAGTTGATCTCAATCATGCTTTCACCCACAGAACCTGTTAAACGAACCTGCCAGCCACAATATGAGCAGCCGAGGTGTGCCCCACTTACACATTGGTACCTCCGAAGAAGAGCGTCGGGCTTGTGATGTTCTCTTGAACGTCAAACATGGAGTCTTTGTTGTCACTTCGCCGTTCCTTGGCGCTCAGGTCGGGTGGAAAAAGAAACCCGGAGCCCGTAAGGGCCCGTCGATGCGGAGGAAATAACTACCCGCAAAGGCCATGATACACCAGGTCCAAGTTGTTGTTGCAAACCAAGATTGCGGAGTCAGCAAGTTGCAGGGCCCAAAACGATACCAACATGTACTATGTGTGCTGCATGGGTACTGAACAATTGCGACTTTCCAGCCGAAGCTGCCAAAATGTACTTCGTATACTATACCACGTATGCTGCACTTGCATTGATCAGTTGCCGACTTTCGCTGCCAAACTACTGCAAACCGATGCAAAGTATTAATACCAATACTAACCTAAGCCAGGGTATAAGGTTGCAAGGTTGTCCGCAGTTCTGTTCGGCCCAGGTAGAATGGAGTCCCCCAATTTCAGAGAAACGCCCTGAACCCTTGACAGCAAACATCTTCGTCCGTTGTTCCGAGGAAGCGGGGCGATCTGAAGCTCATCGTCACTTCCGTGGGAAGCCTGGAAGGTGCTCGACAAGCTTCACATTTGGTTTTTACGCTGAACATTTTGAGGAGTTCTCAAACTTGTTGTTGGGGTGGGGTTCCGTTAAACCGCCGTTAGGCTATGGTTTATTCATTTGGGGGGGGAGACATTGGGGACTCAATTTTCTGACTAAATGCTGGGTTAGTTGTCCCATATTATCCTTTTGCTTTTCCAAGTCACGTTGACCGTGGATTTACAGGGAGTGATTTTGCGGATGTCACTTCAACGGACCCCGTGTCTCGCAAGGAAATGGACAGAGGGTCCTTTGGCGCGGATGAGGGCACGAAGCCACAACTCGGGGGAAGTGGAGACATGCCTCATTCCCTCACTATCGAACCAGCAAGTAGTTCAAGGCCTCCAGTGAGCTGCTGCTTTCGACGCTTAGAATCTGCCTCTCGGATTCCCCGCCATCCTCAGGCACCCAGGCGGCCCTTTTGGTTTGGAGTTGTGAAGCTCAGGGCTCGCTGTATTTCTCGTGTGTGGACGGTGAAGACATCGCCCCTCGAACATGAACTAGAACTAGGGGGTTCCTGTAGGCACGGTGCTGTTTGAACGGAACATATGTCGACGTCGTATCTCCTCGGCTGAACAGTTACTCCTGCCATGTCCCAGTTTGGCTGTTGAAGTAGCCCCCCCACCCTCATTCTGGTAGCTTCCTTGTGGTTTCTCTTTCAAGTCGCACTGCGCGCGGCCATGTTCCGTCAGAATGGGGTGCACCAACTGTACCAGTCGGTGTATTTTCTAGACAGGTTGACCATGCCCCAGCTAAACTTGGCTCCGTTCATGGTCCACTCGAAGTTAGGTGCCCCTATAGGTACCCCTTCGCCGTTTTCCTGGTTGCCTAGGAAAATCGAGTCACTGACCTCTGACTATGACAAAATTCAATCAGGGTGCCATTTTTGGATCACCCCAAGGCAGACTTCCAGGGGTGCTTTTTTTGGGGGGAAGCCCCTGGGTTCAAGCAGCTTGGGTAACCAAAAGATCGGGAATTCTGAGGCCACCCTGGACGCGGAGAAGTTCTCAAGCGGGGGCCTTGAGGGTAGCCCAACAGCCAAGGGGGGGGCTGTTCAAAATTGGGGGTGGGAGAGTTGGCCAGTTTCCGGCGCAGAAGCCTTCAGCAAGAGAGAGAGAGAGGAGAGAGAGATATACACATTTCACTGGAAGGAGCAGGGTATGCCAGATACATTCAAGAGCCATATGGCCAAATAGTTTACGGAAACGGGACTTGCCAGCATGGTAAGTAGGTTTCGGACCAGGGGTAGAGCCTTACATTGTTGCAAAGGGGGTAAAGCGACAAGAAAGAAGGGGTGTCTCATTTTGGCTTAGGGCGTTGACTGGCTGTCTTTCGGGCGGCACTGATCACGCCAACGCGGCCCGCTTTTTGCTGCGTGATTCAGACGGAGCAGGGGATGGCCATTTTACCACAAGCCAGCGGTAAAATGAGCAAATGAGAGAAATCCAAGTACCAACCCCAGAGGGTCCAAGTATCTTCCAAGGATGTGCTGAACGACCCCTTTTGACCCCCCAAAAGCCATCCTCGGAAGGTACCAAGGGACCCTCTGGGCGTTACGCCGGGCGCACCTTACCCGCAGGTTCAAAGTCTTGGAGGTGCCCAGATGTGGCGCATGTTTGAGGGGCTGTATCCTTTAGCAAGCAATCGGGCATCACTGGGAGGTCGGCTAGGCATGAGCCACTTTCCCGGCCCTAGCCTTTTGAAGCGTCTTGGGATGAGCCGTGTGCTTGGTTCCTACCAAGAAAGCAACAATCATGAACATAGTAATTCAATACGTTTCTTCCCACTTGGATGACTGTTGGAAAGAGGGTATTTGGAGGGAAGTGTGCTGTTGACGATTCTACAGATGGATGGACCATTTCCTGCACTACTTGGTGTGAAGCCCGATTTGAATACTGGTTGGACAAGCCGCAGTTCCTGGTGCCGATGTTGTGTAGATGTGGGTCAGCACAAAGCGGACGCCCGCCAGCCTACTTCTTCAACTCCCACATCTTCACCATCCCGGGCAGGAGGGCAGCTCGTGGGGTCATCGCACATTGGAATTGGCAGATCCGCCTTTGGGATGTCTAGAGAAGGGGATGCTATTTTCATTCGAAGTCGGGATCTGGGGTTGCTTTACAACCTGCCTTCATGGCAAAGTGGGGCGTTTCTCAAAATAGGGGTTGATGTTTTGTGGGTTGCGCGACCTCTCGAGCCAACTTTGGGGGGGGTGACTGACTGGAAATGGCAGGAAGAGGAGCCAAGCGGCTTTGATATGCCTGGACACACTCCCACCCGCAGGTCTCAGAAACCACTTGATAGCCGGTGGGGAGGGGGTCCTTGGAGCTCCCAGGTTTACATATCTTCACTGTTCTTAGCATGTTTTAGTTTTTTTAGTTTTTTGGTTCTGTTCATTTTTACTGGGGTCTGCAAAAAAACACAGTGTTTTGCTACCATACCAAGAGTAGAGATGATATGTGCTTGCTTGCGCCACTGGTTTGTGGCCGCCAGGACCTTCCCAGTGGAAATCCTCTACTCGAAGGACGGCCATGCGAGAAGAAATGCAACGCCGTGCTGGGGCATTACTGATGCGTATGACTGTGACAGCCAAAAAGTTTTTTTTTGTATTGTAAGTCTTGCCTTGACAGCAAGAACAAACACGGCGCGCCTTGCTACCAGCCTTCTTTGCTAGAAACGCCATGTGAGAAAATAGGCCGTCCCCTACAGTTCATTTCCTTCTGCCAGGATCCAGAGCAGGACTATGTCGAAGCTGCACTGATGACGGTGCTACAGCCCGGATCTCCCAGACTCGGGCCGGGCGAGTCTCGAGTCCGGAGGTCAGCAGCCGTCAGCAGCACTCCGATTTGGCCGTGGTGGTCAAAACCGTTTTGGGATCCCATTTTGGTTGGTAGGTGAATTCACCACCCATTTGAGACTATCTTAGTGGGGATGCAGCACTTGTATTTGGCCATGGGTCAAAACCAATGGTATTTTGGGGTAGGTGAATTCACCACCCACTTTCGAACCTATCTTAGTGATTGGATCGGGATGTTTTCACTGGGGGTACGATTTGGATTTTGACCCATGGCCATTTGGGTTTCTGATACTCTAGTTGGCTGTGCCCTTAAGCGAGGATCCAAGAGAAGGTTGACCTTCTGGGCCAGGTTCATTCCCAAGACCCTGGGTCATTTTCTACTGAGCGCCAGCAAATACAGTGGTTTTTGAGAGGGTGCAGGCATGCTTGACAGCAGAGGTTCCTCTGGGAGCCATGATCTTGAACCATCGAAGTTTTCACCGTGGCACATATCAATAAGATATGACTCCGTTCTTTTTGGAGGGTACCCTTTGAAAAGGGGTGGCTTAAAGAGAAAACTACATGGACACCACAGATTTTTTGGGGGTCCCCCTGTTTTCACAAATGTCCATATTCTTGTTCTTATGGTTTCAGCTATGACAACCTCACCCATGACGGCTGTGCCACTGCGAATTCGCCTCATGAGGTCGAAATATGACTTGCACTCCTAGACATCAACATGGCACCAACAACTACGCGCCTAAGACGAACCCCCCTTGGGCCTTTTTGGGTTCCATGTAAATTTGTAGGGCACTTCATCAGGTAACCCTTCGTTCGTGGAACCACCTTAACCACATACAACAGGGGCTGTTGCAAGGACTGCCAAGAACCGGCTGTCCTTTGCGCACGTACAGAGACGTCTATCAGCTGTTCTGTTTCCGTTCATCTCAGTTCTAACTGGCCAGAGCTATCAAGTGTCAAAACAAGCAACATCCAAACTGTTTGGTTGAATGCCGGCTTTTGAACGGGGTTCCTTAGATTATGCATTCGGGCCAGTTGTATACTCACGCAAATACCAGGAACACGGCTGAAGAGCATAACCTCACACGACCTCACCCCAAATGGTGGTCTAACCACCTTATTTCAGGCTGGTAAAATATTATAATTCACCTAGATTGATGGGCATGTCTCTTTTTTTTGTACGAGAACCTTCAAAATGGATGGTTTCCCCCATAGAAAAGCACGTGGGTCGAGGACTCGGCGCAAGAGCGCGCAGGGGCCCCTTGATTTTTGAAACGCGTTTGTTTCAGGTGGATGCCAGTCTAAGTGGGAGTGCCGTTTTTTTGGGGAAGTTTCACTTTAAACAAAATGAGAAGGGTACCTTGATAAAAAGACACACCCAAGTCAATTACTTCGAGCAAAACTACTAGGCTCGACTCGTGATACAGTGGATGGACCAAATGCCAGCAACTGTTTCGTGGTTTCTCCCAGAATTCATTGCATCCATTCCAACTGTGAAGTGGATTTTGTCGGTCCACAGTCGGACCCCCCCGCAGTCAACTGAGAACGACGCTTGAATTGGGCTGGAGATCCGAAATTTTTCGGAGCCCCGCAAAAGCTTCCACCTGGGAGGTGCTCGAAGAGAAGCTTTTCCAATGAGGAGAATTCCCCTATAGTCTTCCATTTGCTGAAAGGAATATTTGTTATTTTCCCCTGTTGGCTTTAAAGGGAATCTATATACTACTGGAAATGTGTTTTTTGTCAGTTGACTCAAGTAAATGGAAGTAGTCTTCCCGTTGACGTGCCAGATAAAAGCCCTTGGGCCCTTTGTAAACTTGGGTCTCGGTTTCTTTTTTCAGGTTTTGGAATGAGATTCACAGATTTCCTTTCATCAACCCCACAACGAGAAGCTGCCCATTTTCGCATGGACGTCGCACTTCCTTGTCACGGGTGCCCAACAACGGGCTAGCGACCGATAAGGCCGCTTGGGTGGCGAATACCGTGGATGGCTGCGAAATCCGCTTCTCGCACCCTTCAGTCGCGTCCCCAAGGTAAATACCAAACAGCCTTATGGTGTCATTAAGCCAGATGGTGAGGTAACCGCGCCGAATGTGGGGTAACAATGCTGAAAAAAGGGGTAACAACGCCAAGAATGTGTAGTAATCCCGCCGAACAATAAGACAAGATCAGGTGCGCGTGGCATGGAAATGTCGCGTCCATCCGGGTGCTTTTTCCCCGAGGATCCACCTCACGGAGCCCTCGGGGGACATCCTGGTCTTCCTGACCGGACAGGAGGAGATCGACACGGCCTGCGGGGAAGCTCAGAAGGGGGGGGGTGGGGCCCGGAGGGGGGGGGGGGGTGGCACAGCTGAAAATATGGAGGATGTGAGCATATGTGAGCTCACAAAATTGTAGGGGTTGATTCCAATTCCATTCTTTTCAAAAACCAGCCGTTTTCCCACGGATTCTGGAGGTTTTCTAGAAAGAAGGATCCTTGGAAAGAATGGGAAGGTACCCTAGAAAATTGGCAAATGCTCTGGGGGAAGTGGGTGGGTGCGTGGGTGGGTGGGGTGGGTGGGTGGGTGGGAGGGAGGGAGGGTGGGTGGGTGGGTGGGTGGGTGGGTGGAACAGCTGAAAATATGGAGGATGTGTTTGTTTCGGTATCTTTTTCACCTGAAATGAAAGGGGAACCAAGAGTTCGATCACCGGGTTTTGGAGTCCCTGATTTCGACACATGCACTCCTGCAGAAGCGGTTTTGCACCTCATTTAAGCGCCTGCCAGTGGTTTAGGGAAACCATTTGTGCTGGAAACACTGGAGAGGAGTAGCATACGGTTCCCAACTCTTTCTCTAAGGTGGTTTGAATCATCACCTCTTTGCGCCACTTTGCCACGTTCCGATTTCCTTTTGATGTTCAAACATTTGGGGGCCCCTCAGAAGGGCAAGATAGTTAAGTGGTTAGGAACGCTGGAAACTCAGTTGGTGGGCTTACAGCCAGACCTTTTGGGCGATTTGCTCCTGGTGAAAACACACCACTAACCACCCACCCGAAACAATCGCCTGGGTTTCGTGTGTCTCGCGGGTGGGGGATATCTGCGAAATGGGGGGCACCGCGGGCTTACAGGAAAGGCGACAGAGTGGCCACATCCAACTTTCATTGGGGTCAAAAATCCGCACATGGCAATTCGGATCTTCATTCCAATCTGGTTGGTGGACACAAATCCCCCAGGTGGGGTGAACAAAAAGACTCCGCGACCGCCGCGGCCGTATCCGCCGCATCCGCCGCATCCGCCGTATCCGCCGTATCCGCCTGCTCGATAGGCCAAGTCCTGCACGAGCGGATGCAGAAGCTGGAGGCGATGAGCCCGCCGCCGCTCATCATCCTGCCCGCCGGAGCCCCCTGAAACGCCCTGGGAAGTGCGGGGACATCGGCGTCAAAGAGCTGCCAAAAAAGCTTGGAAGGTGGGTCAAGGTTGCTCGAAGTCGCCCAGTTTTGCTCTGGTGGTTTTTAGGGAAGACTGAGCCCAAGCGCAGGTTTCTAGGGAAGACTCGACTCTATGAGCCCAAGGGAAGAGCCCAACGGAAAGTTTTTTTGGAACCGATTCAGTTTGTTCGCCGAAACCGGTCAGACTTTGGGGGTTTTGGACATGGAGGTTGCTGATGATTTTTCTGACCGTTCACTGCGAAAGAGATCCCTTGGGTCGCATGATTGACCACTTCCCAGAGGGCTCAAGGAAAGTCGCTCGAGCCACGATGAAAACCCGGGCAAGAGAAGGTTGGTGCCAGAACTAGCTGCGGCCGCTTGCTGAGTTCTTTGGTTCTGGGTCGACCATTGCCGGGTTTTGAGCAAGTGACTCACTTGGGGGAAAGTGCCAGTTGGTGCTTAAGGCCACGGGAAAAAAAAGGGACTGTCCCAAGTGCCCGCCTGATTTGAGGTGTACAGCGCCTTGCCCTCCGAGATGCAGACGATGATCTTTGAGCCTCTTGGCGGTGTTTCGCGGTGTTTTCATGGCTCGGGTGGGTGACCCCCGATGTGTGAGGGACCTTTCTGAGACAACACCGGGCTTTCCCATGAAACATCCCGCAACAGGTCAGACTTGCGTTTCCTTGAATCCCCCGCCAAATACCACTTTTGACTGTTGACTTTTGGGGGCTTGGTGCAACTCGGTGAAGGGGTGGTTTCAACCGGGCGTGCTTCTTTTTGCCTCGCAAAAGCGCTCGGGCACGAATTACTTGAAGGGACAGCGTGGGGGAAGCGCTGGGCAAGCAATTGCCTCAAGGGACAAGGTACTTAGGAAGCGGTTGGTAAGTATCCATGGGTATAGCCTACCTACTAGTGTTGCAAGTGCGCCAGTTGAATACACTATACTACACAACATAATCAACATATATACGAAGACATGAACTTATTTTGCATTTTGACCATTAGTTATGCCGCTGTATGAAGCCAAATGAGCAAGCAAACATGTACAGACCTCCAGTGGTGCTCTTATTTGTCCCGCTGGGCAAACCTTTGGCGGAGACTCCATGACTCCGAGTCTCCGGCGCTCCGTAGGCCGCCGCCGCCGGGCTGTCGGAAGTGCATTGTGGCCACCAACATCGCAGAGGCGCGGCTTCCGGCTTCGAGTCGAGTCGAGTGACGTGGGAGGCGATTCTTTTGTGGCAGCTGGCGGGGTGTGTCGGTTTTGAGGCGCCCCCCGAAAGTTTTGTTTAAACAAAAAATGCGGGAAGGAAACCAGGGGCTTGTACCGCTTTTTTGCGGGCGAATGGCAGAAAAAAGGGTCTATGGGGGGTTCCGTGTAGTTGTTGTGACCAACGGATTGCCCCGTGCTTGTGTAGTCGTTGTGGCCAACGGATTGCCCCGTGCTTAGTGGGAAACCAGTGGATGCGTTCGACCCATTTGTTTTGTCCTGTTTGGGCTAAATGAGTGCAGGCAAGGCTGCAATCCCAGAATTCCATTTGTAGGCAGCCTTTTGAAGGATTCCCCTGGTTACATACTAAAGCGTGGGACATCAAGGGGACTATGCCCAGTTCGCGTCGTTCACTCGGGCCAGGAACGAGTCCAACAAAGTTTGGCACCACCACTGCCACGTGAAGTCGATATATGTTTTTCGTTTTGTTGGCTTTTGAGGGGGAGGGAGCACGACGTACATGTAATGTGTTCTTTTCTAGCACCTCAAGCACAGAGTGTCGTTTCTCGTGGAGATGTTGGGATTGGCAATCGTGTCTTTGGGGAAAATGCACCCCCAAACATTTTGGACCACTAATGGGCCCCTTTTTGTGTCAACCCCTTGCTTCTGGGTCGGCTTGTGAAGGCATGCCCACACATTGCCGGACTTATCTACATACATTAATTTGCAATAATATATACATAATATATATATATATATACAAATACGTGTATGTATATAATATACAAATACGTGTGCATACATACATATATATATATATACACGTATGGTACCACCCCCCCCCCCCCTCAGAAACCTTGCCTTTTTCAGGGTTTTGCTGCATTTTGACCTCCCCCGCAATGACCATATGCTACAAGTAGCAAAGGGAGTACCACAGTAGAAAATACGATACTCATCTGGATCTGGAAATCACAGGCCTCTAAGACTGCGTCTGGAAATGCATGTTTGCAGCCAGGTTGACCAATGTTGATGTCTGTTTTGCTGTTGCCATATTTTTGAATGGTTGTTTAAACATATGGAATTAAGATTCTCTAATTTCAGGACAAGATTGCTTTGAAATCTTTAGTCTTGAGTTCGATAGATTTGAACAAAATAAACAATAATCTGGGATTAAAGATTCAATATTCAAGAAGTTCAGAAAATACATATTGAGGTTGTTTTCAAATATTGAGTCTTGAATCCATTTGTTTAAAACAATTCCCTGGCAACGTAGTAAAGGCGTCCACTACCAAGATGAGTGCCAACCATGTCTGCCAACATAGATTTCGCAATCAAAGAGGTACCATCAGCTAGCTTAGTATCCCTTGCTGTTCCCTTACTATTCCCCAAGTATTCCCCTAGTGTTTCTTGGTATATCCCGAGTAATTCTCAGTACTCCCCTAGTATTCCCCTATTAATTACTCCCCTAGTAATTATTTCCTCAGTATTCTCCTAGTATTCACCCTTAGTATTCCACCAAATTTCCTTGAGTGTTTCCCTAGTATTCCCCTAGTATTCCCTCACTATTCATGCCCCAACCTGACGGCTCTGTGTCGGGTCCTCAAGAGTTGCGACATTCGAGCCAGAGCTGCCGTGAACTTCCTTTACTACACTTGTGCTGAAAAGCCGGAGCACCGGCCGCCCAAGCCAAGCCCAAGCCCCTCGCGACCGCGGCATCCGATCACGCCGGGCGTACCGAAACATGAGCAAAGGGCGAGCAGTGTCTATGGATAAGTCTTGCTCGCCCGTTGCAAATTGTTCAAAGCCTTGGCGCCGCTCAGAAGAGGCCGGGGTACGCCGGATTGGCAGCTCCGGTTTTTCAGCACAAGTGTAGTAAAGGTACGCCCGGCGTGATCGGATGCCGTGGTCGCGAGGGGCTTGGGCTTGGCTTGGGCGGCCGGTGGTCACTGCTCGGCGCCGCAGCACTTCTGACTACAGCGTGGAAACTCTGCAGCTGGTTCCGCGGGCCGCGCCATCCTGAGGCCGTGCTGATCATCCACGGCGTGGGGCTGGTTGGCTTGGAAGGCCAGCATCTTTTCCCAAAACCGGGTTAAGTTAACAAACGGCTAATATAAAAAACAGAACCAACAGTTCCCTGAGGCCTTGAGAAAACCAAGCAACCAAAGCAACAAAACTCCGAGGAAACGCGTTGGTTTTGCTAAAAGTTCTCGTTTCTTGTAATCTCGAGGTTTTTGTTCTTTGTTTTTTACACTTTCTGAGGCAGAGCAACTCATGGGGGAATATACATTTATATATACATATACATATACACGTGCGTTGCTGCCCCACTTGCAATACTCAAGAGACGCCGTGCTTTTCCTTCGGGTGCTCGGGAGCGGGCGAGAGGCGTCCCTTACCATCGACGGGATCTTCTTCGTTGTTGATCCCGGGATGTCGAAGGCGCGGGAGAAGGGGCGGAAGGGAAAGATGGTTTCCACCCCCAAATCATTACCCGGACTCTCAACCTACCCAAAAAAGTGGACACCACTCACAGTTCTAGAGTCTTGGACGATACCCCATTTATGGGTACTTGCATGAGGCAGGTACCTAGATGCTCCGCGAATGAGCTCGGGTTAGCGAACTTGTTTACAAGGGAGATAGGGGGTGGGGGATTTACTGTGGGTTATGAAGCACTTCTACGTCCCAAATCAAGGGGAACAAATCTGCATCCAAGCTTGTCAAGGTTTGACATGGCTGTGGGTCAAGAAGCCTTAGGCCCGATTCAGGCGAAATAGGCACGGTGTGAATGGTGGTGGGTTTTTGTAGGCCAGGGTGCTGGAAAAACGGTGTGCCCAGACCTTCGGGCCCCGCTTCGCTAGTCTTGAGGCACCAACTGACACGCAGAGGGCAGGAAGAGTTTGCGGCAAGCGTGTCAAGCTATGACCCATGCGCTCGTTTACTCACTTATTGAGAGGGACTCGGCCTTTTGACCTTTTGCTTTCCCAGTTTTGGTCTGTGTCAAGTCATGGTCCCAGGAGGTTTGCCTTTGATTTCCAGCTGCTTTAGGCAAGTGACTGGAAGAGAGCCAAGAATGACCGCATCAGGAGCCTTCCCTCTCTTTCTCTCTTTCTCTCTCGCGCTCTCTCTCTCCCCCCTCGTTCATTTGCGGAACAAGCAAATTAATACCTTGATGGGTCTCTTGTTGTTTTTCTCCCAGCCTTTGAATTTGTTTCTAGATTGAGAAAAGCACCGCACATTCTCGCAATACTTGATGACTGCAGCTGAGAAACTCCGAAGCAGCACAGACCTACGTGGACCTAGCAGGAATTTCCCTCTAAATCTAAACTAAATTCAGGGCATAAACGGGGAGCACCATGCTGCGAGAGCAGGTGAAGATGTACAACTCCAAGACAGGCCGGGCTTCGCTCTCTTGCGCGCGGGGATTGGGAGGTCCACTGTCCATCCGCTCACTTTCAGCCAGCTGGATGCGACATTTCAGTGGGAGAAACAACAGTTTTCCGCAAATTATTTGGTGCATTTTGCTTGGATGTTAGGACTTTAACTTTTTGCCAACTAATGGGTTTTCCATTAAACCACTAACAGTTAAACTTTTAGCAGGGGAGCAGCAAGCAACCGAGAATGAAGGAGAAGCATTTGCCCGCCCCAGAAGGCTTCTTCGGCCCCTTTGCTCGGGAAAAGGGGATCTGAGGTTTCCTCCCGCTGCAATCGTGGCACTTGCAGATGTTTCGACTTTTTGGAGGTCGATTCACTCAATGCAACCCCGAGTGAGGTCAAACATAGCTCTGGTTTGGACGCTGGAGTTCACCTTCAATGGTCATCCTTTTCGTTTGGCGGCGTCTCATGTCGCATGTTTTCCAAATGCTTGCCCCACGGTCCGATTTACTGCAGCCTCCTTTTGGGTTCGCAAAGTCAATAGGTTTGCAAGCCGCCTCCGGTGGGAATGCAGGGCAGTGAAGACGCGTCCGCACCGGAACAAGTTCCAAGGTCACCATGGTCACCATGTTAACAAACGGCAGTTTCAGAAACCATGGGCCAGTCATGCAGCTGCAAACCGGATGATTGCCAACGAGCGTCCGCCTAGGCTACATGATTATTCCGGTCACTTCTTCAGTCCTCTTTGGTCCTCTCCTTGTCTTGCCAATATTTCGTGGGCTGGGAGTAAGGGGGGAGGGGAATCCTTTGTGAGCTTGTAACACCTTTATTGTTTAAACAACATGCAACAAGAACATTGTTTTTTCCAGCTAGCTGATTTTGTTTTTAGTTGTTGTGTTGGAGAAAGGTAACCCTTCAGACTGTTGCACAAGAGAGATTGGGCACCTGTTTTGTATCTTCTTTTGTTCGTGTCTTTTCATGTTCGGATTGGGGGAGGCAGGCAAGAGGGGTTTGGCGGGTGCCCTTTACAGGCGTTACAGGCTTATAAATTGGGGGCCCAATTTTGGGAACCAACCACTCAGAGTTCTAAAAGTTGAGAACCCCTTCAAGTTGCACTGTTCTATCCATTCTTCTAGTGGCACCTTCCCCATTCTTTGGGATCCGAATCTTTTCAGGAAGCCCTCAAAAACCCAGGTTGGAAAGATATCCGGTTTGTGAAAAGCACCATGGTTAAAAAGAATGGACAAGGAATCAATCCCCGGAATTCCGCTTCGGGTTTTTTGTTGCCCATGGCAGGCATGGACTCCTTGCTCATCACGCCCGTGAGCCAGGTGCCGCGTTTGCATTGAGACAGCCCAAGTGCTTCCAGGCCCCAGGCATGGCAGTGTTGTCCTTTTGCATATTATTTTCCCCAACATGAGAGCTTTCTTTTCTGGGAGCTTTTCCTTTCAAAACAACCAGCGCCACAAAGAGGTGTCCGTTCTTTTTTTGTTGGTTTTTGTTTCCCCCGCATGGCCAGGGATGCTCTGAAACTGAAGCGAGCAGCCGGGTTCCGGGGCTGTTGACCATCTGACTCCTTTTCTCGTTTGAGGTTCTCCACCCTTTGTTCTAGGGGTACCTTCCATTTCCATTCTTTCCAGGCATCCTTGTTTCTAGAAAACCACCCAAAACCCTGGGGAAGCAGCTGGTTTTTTCAAAAGAACGATGGTTGAAAAGAATGGGGAATCAACCCCTAGTTTTGTGGATAGAGTTTTTTTTTTTAACGGAAGCCAACAGGAGACCAGTTCTGGGGGTCCCCTGAAAAAAAGAGACACGCCCAGCCATTCTGGGCCATTCTGGGACTCCCCTGAAAAAAAGACCCACACCCAAATGAACCATTGGTATCACTGGCAGGACTGCACGTTTTTAAGGTGGCGAACCTGATGCAAAGTCTTGGCCCGCACTGTGTGAAGGCCCAGCCACTGGCACACGTGAGGGTTGACAAATTGGTTTGGTGGCCTACTTGAAGGGGCAGGGTAGTTAAGTGCTTCATAAGGATTCAAGTCCCACCTACAGAACTCGCAACCATGGAAAGTAGGTTGTAAATGGGAAAGGGGCAGGCTACTTAGTATGTGGTTAACCATGATTAAAACCCACCTAGGGCAACTTGCAAACATGGTAAGGTTATCACTCAGAACCATGTTTACTACTTACCCGACGTACCCTGCCCAGCAAGTATGTTTTGCTTGCGGGGGCATTCGATAGCTCTTCAGCTGCGTGTTGGAGGGATGGATAGTTCCGATGCCAAGCCGGACGTAGCGTCCCTTTGTCCACGTGTATTCAAATGCATGAAGTGGGTACGGGTCAAAATAAAACCACCAGGGGACCGCAGGTTTTAGTCTTTGGTTCCATTTACCAGGGTTCCATTTTGGGTACGCACTTTTGACCCATAGCCAAGTCAATCAGTCCAAAACGCACACAGACATCACACACACACACACCAGACACACAACTTGCTATTTGCCCGGAATTGGGGCTGGGTTATCCGTATAGCCGCGTAGCCCTGTGAGTTTCTTTCGGGTGTGCCTTTGCTGAGGGCAGCCATTTTTTGGTGGTTTCACAGGGAAACCCCACCGGGAAACCGCTGGTTTGGGGTCTCCCGCCCTAAAAGACCCAAAAACGAGCGCCCGGTTTCTCAAGCCCGGCGCCGCCCGTTTCTCGTTTCGCGCGCGCCGAGGCCAACGCGCGGCAGCGCTCCGGCCGGGCGGGGCGCACGGGGCCGGGCAAGTGCTACCGCCCGGCGCCGAGCTCCGACGGACTCGCAGCGCATCCGGTCGAAGGGTGGGATGACTCGGGGTTTATCCAACCACTTCTGTGATGCAAGGGAATATTCCCCTTTTTTATGGGGGCGTTCGTATTTGGGGTTCGGCCCTTGGTAAAATATTACAGATTTCCCACAGCCCCGATCCAGTTGCATCTTAAAAAAAAAAACACAATTCCATTTCAAACTTAATATCGTTTTTTGCTTGTTTGTTTATGATTTCCCCTGTTGGTCTGTAAAGGGAATTGATCACAACTGGAAATGCTTAGGGGCATGAGCATGAGCAAATGGATAACTCTTCTAGCCTGCTAACGAGCCATTTATTACAAACATGTTCACAGTTGGACCTTCACTTGGGAGCATGTTTGTTTTCCTCACTAGCCGAAAGTGTTTGCCTGTTTGCACTGGGGGCAATCGCCACAGAAAGCCACAAGCTAAACCCAATAGACCGATGTTTTTTTTTGGTGGAGCCAAAAGAGGATCCGTATTTATTTTTTGCGCAGATTCCTGGGTAAAGCTGAACCCCAGCTCAGGGAGTCGCAGTTCGAGTCGCAGTTCGCGAGTTGGCAATGCTCGCTTGACATGGTTTGGGACTTGAGTGTCACGCGCAAGTCATCGGCCCATTTCAGGTGAGTTTCGCTCTCTTTTTATGGGAAAGATGCCAGCACCCCCCAACAGCTGCCTTTCCCCGTGTTCCAAATTCCGTTTCTCCACAAGGCAGTGGTCACCCGGGCGCTAGGAACCCCCAGACCGACCCACTGAGGCTTGTACACGGAGCTGGCCTACCGGAACGAGATGCTGCCAACGGCCGCTTGTCTTTGCGACCCGGTCCCTTCGTTTTACACCCACATTATGTCCATTAGAACTAAAGTATAGTTTGGCAGATTTTACGTCTGGGTTTGTGTTCTTTTGAGGGTACCCTTTTCAAGGCAGTGTAGGAAAATGACGAGGATAACCACCATTCTTGTTGGTCCTCCTTGACACATACCCATGTCCAGGATGAATCTCACGCTACCTTCTTCACGCGGGTGAGCCGGCAACATTTAGCTCAGCTCGATGCCGAAACAAAATCATGGTCAGCATGCTTGCCGATTTCAACGTGGCTGTTTCGTACAACCAACTGTGAGTAGTGAATAGCACAGACTGTGTGAAGGAGTCAGATAGATGGAGTGACAGAACCCAGGTTGAAAGGACAATCCTGGACCCTCGAAAGGTCAGGCGAATCTAGGCGAATTGGCCAACCAATACGTCTTTTTCGCCGTTGGGGGTGAAACACTGGCGGGAAACACCGCTGGCGGTCACAGTTGTGGGGAATGTTTGCCTGTTGGTCGGGAATTTTCGCTGGTAGGTTCGGGGAGATTGCACCTGACTCCACGTGGGGTTGCACCAAAAAGCACGTAGCACAAAGGCGGTATAGCCGGAAACACGTCGCTCGTCTTCTGACATTGTATTTCTTGGTTCCCACTCGAGTACCACTCGACAACTTTGGCGTTGCTCCGAGTCTCCAAGACATCACACCGTTCGGGTGGAATGGCAGAAGGGGTCCACTTGCGTGCGTGCTTTTTGAGGGAGTCAAAAGGAGACGAGCATGAAAGCCAACCTTTTCGGGGGCTCACCATTTTGACACACACCCAGAGATTCCAAGTACCTTCCAAGGATGCACTTAGACCCCTTTTGACCCGCCAACAGCCATCCTCAGTGGGTACTTGGACCCTCTGGGACACACACACACACACACAAACACCGCTTGTTTTCCTCTTCCGCCCAATTTTCTGGGGGTTGGACCTTCCTCCAACTTCCCCCCCGGCCGCTTCGCTTTCGCTTTCTTTTTTTCTGGGGCGAGGCGGTGCCTGAGATCCAGCGGACCAACCTCTCCAACACAGTGCTCTTGCTGAAGGCAGGGCAGGGTGGACCCGGACCCCAGGCCCGGTGGCGTGGAGCCTTTTGAAGGGGCCAACGGGTTCTTGGGGGGAGAAATTGAGAAGCCGCCCCCCCAACAATACCCACACCCCCTGGTTCCCCCTTTTGGAGGTTTGTGAGGGGGAACCAAAGGGAAACACACGGCCAACAAGAAAGGTTCGCCATTTCAGGGTTCCCAGGCTTCGCAAAGAAGGTTCCCCTTTTTGGACGGTATCCCTCATTTGGGGCTCCTCTGGGTGAATGGGAAACCACCGGGACACAACTCCGACCAATCCAAACCTCCAATTAGAAGCTGAAGGTTGGGATCGAAAGACCCTTTGTGGGCGGAGTAGGCATTGGGTGCTATGAAGGTACTTTGATCCGACAGAGCCCAACTCTCCCCGCGGCTTTTAGTCCACTGCGCTGACAAAAGGTGTGATCAGACAAAATCGACGGACTCGCAACAACAAATATGACCTCCAAAACCCAAGGAGCGTAGGGAAGGGAGTCCACAATGTAACCCCTTGAGGCCTGGTCTTGTCATGGGCTCCGTGCCTCTTCATGATAAGCAGACTCACCCAGCCTAAGCGAACAAGTTGTTGCATAGAGCTCACCTTGGCGTCACCACGTGCCTTTTCGTGGAAGAAATACCGTCCCTCAGGCGATGGGCATTCAGGACATGCTCAGCTTTGACTTCATGGACTCTCCGCTCGGGTCCTTTCGGAGTGGGACGGGGTTGGTTGGCGCGGGTTTGACAAGTCTCAGTCTCAGGGCAAGTCCCCCCCGCCACCGTTTGCTTCAAGGGACGATGGAAGGGAAGCAAAAGGTTTATCCAGCGCTCCCAAGTTGGACACAAGTCCACATTCACCCCCCCATTTACAGTTGGATGACAGAAGATGACAAAGCTTTCCTCATGTCGGTTTAGTCATCGCCTTTACTCACCCAAGAAAGGGAATTGTGCCTAGGGACGTCAGGTAAGTGGTTAGTACTGGTTATAAACCTTGGTGGCTCGGGTGTCCATTTAACCCACTAAAAGTTAGTCACACTTTTAGGGGATCTGAAGGCAGCCCAGAAACCACTGACCGGGGACTTCCAACTTTGGCTTTGGTGGGTTTGCCCGTCGTCACTCATATCTAAGGGTTTTTGTATTACACCCTGGGAATACACCCACTGGGTATTGACCCCATTTAGGCACATTTCCGGTTAATTATATTACCGTGTTATTTTGAACCATTCTGGGTAATTTCCCAAGGGTGTAATCCCAGGGTGTAACACAAAACCCTCAGATCATACTACCTACCCGACACGCCCTGCCTCTTGAAGTTGTGCAGCTCTGATTCTGAGGCCGGTGGAGACCATGATCAACGCCTTGGAGTCGCTTTGGCGACTCGGCTCTCGTTCAGCGAACTGGGGGGGGTGGTTTGTGTGTGTGTGTGTGTGTGTGTTTCAAAACAACTGGCCATGGGTCAAAACCCAAATCGTACCCCCAGTGAACATCCCAATCCCCACTAAGATAGGTTCTAAAATGGGTGCGCCTATCCCAAATGGTATCATTGGTTTTGAACCATGGAGGGGTTGGTTTGCAAAAACAAGTGTTTGGAGAAACAGACCTCTCTGAAGCGTTTGAAGCAGACCCCAGACCTCGGATTTTCCGATTTCCTGAAGGGCCCTCCGGGTCGAAGAAGCTTGATCACTTGATGCGGCAGTGGCGCTACACCTGGGTCCAAATGCTGATGTTGTTGATTTACAGGGAACATCTTGCTTGCCTCATGCAAGCCACCTGGCCAAGGTTTGTATCCAGCGACCCGGGGCTTCAAAAGTTTTCTTGAACTCAACTGAGTTCCTTTCAGTTTCAAGTCGGTTTGGTCTACTCGCGGGTGAGAGGTATTGGCGCTTGGTTTTATACGGTTTGAACAGGGTTTCAGGTTCTCTGAAAGAGTTTCAAGCTTCAATGAAAGGGTTTTAGGTGGATGCGTGCTAGGCTACGCACAATTCCGCACAATACTTAGGACAACATCCACCAGTCGGTAGGTGGTTTATCCCAATATTCAAGTCAGGTTCTATCCAGCCCCGACTGCGTTTTGCGGGTTTTCTCCCGTAGCCAGAGGACCGCTGCCCTCACTTGCGGTTTCCTTTTTGGAGGATCCGGTTTCCCAGAGCCGGGTGATTCCCGGGGAGCCAGCAAATTGGAGGAACACCTCCTTGGTGCGATTTTGGGGTGGTCCAACCTTCAACACGGACACCCCTCTAGGGGTTGATTCCCCATTCTTTAAAAAAAAAGCTGTTTCCCTTCTAGGTTTTTGATGGTTCCCTGAAAAGAAGGATGTCCGGAAAGAATGGAAATGGAAGTTACCCCTGGAGCCTGAAAAGAAGGATCCCCGGAAAGAATGGTTGGAAGGTATCCCTGGGGTGGTCCAAGCCTAACCCGGACCTTTTCCCAAGTCTTGCCTTGACGCTGTCCGTCTCGAAGGACCTTGGGCTCCCTGGACGACGAGGGAATGCTGACAGACCTGGGCCGCAAGATGGCCGAGCCGGCGGCCCTGAAGACTTTCAACCGGCGAGAGATGAGACTGTCAAAGGGCGAGAGGTGGGTCTCGTCTCTTTTTTAGGGCACCTTCCAAAATGGTCGGTTTACCGTGTTTTCCAGAAAACCGCCCCCCCCCCCCAAAGAAAAAGCAACAAACAAACACAAGTGGTCGGTTTTTTCCCTCTGGTTTTCCCTCGAAAAGTTGTATTTTTTCAGTTTTCAGTACGTGTGTTTTGTGAGACACTTGCTAAGGTGGTGCAACGTCGAAAAACATCCGGGAGGGGGGGGGGGGGGGGGTTACGGGCGGGTCGGTTCCCAAAGCCTCGGGGACCCACCCAACTAAAAGGGAAACCGCTGGTTACCTATACTCACTCCCGAGTTCCTAGACTTAAAACAAACAAAAAAAAACAGACTTGTTTGCCAATCCACTTTTTTCCCCTTTTTGTTTCTCCTTTTTTTTTTTCCCGGAAGTGAGCCCATACTGGTTTCTGGGATTCACCGGTGTTGTTGCGATTAGACGGTGGAACTTGGCTAAGTATTCAGCAACTCAGCTAACCTCCACTCAACCATGTAAGCCCTCGTGGGGCTAACCTTCTTTCCAACCCAGACCGCTGTCGACCGGGTTGATTGGAAAGCCAATCAAGTGAGTCAGAGTGAAGGCACAGTCCCAGCCATGAGATGGGGATATCCGTTCTCTTGATTCGTCATGATATACCTGATATATCTTGTCAGGTGCTGAGTGTGACTCAGAAGGCAAGTGGGTCCCCGCGTGGCGGAAAGCTTTGATCGGGCTGTTTGTCAGGTCACGGGGGGAAGATTTGCTTCGCCAAAATTTATGTTGGGAGCTGAACATCAATCGAAAGTTCTCCCGTTTTGAGACCACGGGGAAAGTTCAGACTTTGGCTTCGCCTTGGAAACCGAGACTGGGTAAATGTAAAGACCTCGCAGGCCCAGATCTATTGAATTCAAAAGCCAAGCGGTTTTTCACCCTTTAACAAGCGCTTTGGATCGGCCCGGAAGGGCTGGGTACCCCCCTGCCCCAGAACAGGTCTGCCCCCGGCGTTGCGACGTCTCGGACGGTCCATTTTGTTGGCATACGCCCATTTTATGTTTTCGTTGATCCACCTGGAATAGTTTTGTTTTTGATCCGGTACCCTGCATTGGGACCGGTGTTTTTTTTTACTAGCCCCGTTGTGCGGCAGGTTGGTTGGCTGGGCGGACGCATCCCCAGCATCCCCAGCATCCCCAGCATCCGCAGCATTTCCGGTTTCTTGTCAGGGCTGCATATTGGGCTTGACTTGATGGTAGTTGACAGTTGCTCGGGCTAGCCGGCCGCATTGCCAGCATTACTGGCCTCACTCGGACCTTATCTAAGCCACCTAAGGTGAACAAAGCGATACAAGGATTTGGTGGCAGTTCAGGGTTGCTCGAAGCTGGTTTGCGGTGAGTGTTGGGCTTGATGAGGTCTTGATGAGGGCGGGTCTTGGGTCTGTTTGAGGTTCATTTAGGCTGCGGTTGGGAGGGTTTAAGGTTGACTTTGGGTCGGTTTTGACTTGGTTGGGGCTGATTTGTGCCAGGTGGGCGGGTGGTTTAGCCGTGGCTTTCGGTTTGCTTCAAGGATGCTGGTTGGGGATTGGTTGTGGGGCGTTGCCCCAAACCACCAATCTTAGCCCAACTTGCATAACCACATCCCTGAAGCAACCCGAAAGCCACGGCAAAACCAGCCGCACACCTAGCACAAATCAGCCCCATCAAGCCAAAACCGACCCAAAGTCAACCTTAAACCCTCCCAACCGCATCTGCATATCAGCCCTTTGCCGAGCCTAAATGAACCTGAAACAGACCCACGACCCACCCTCATTAAGACCTCATCAAGCCCAGCACTTACCCCAAACCAGCCCGAGCAACCCTGAACTGCTACCAAACCAAAGCCAACAGGCAGCTCTCGTCCAAGTGAGGCCAGTAATGCTGGCGATGCGGCTTGAGCAACTGTCAAATGCCATCAAGTCATGCCCAATATGCAGCCCTGACAAGAAACCGGAAATGCTGGCGACCAACCCACAGCCAACCTGTTTGGAGGGAGGCCTTGTACCGAGCCGGGGCTACTAAAAAGCCGCCGGGGCTAGTAACAAAAACACCTCAACCCCCTGCGTTGTTTGGTTCCCGCACTCCTTGGCGTCCCCTTCGTTTCCGATTTCCGATCTGCATGGAATCCACGGGCCGAGGTTCCCCATGGAGCCGGCGCTGTCGAAGATGCTGCTGACCTCGGTGGACCTGCGGCGATCCGTCCGCAAAATGGATGCGGGAGTGAGGCTGGGTTTTTGAGACTCCCTCAGACTAACATGGCCATGGTTTCAAAACCAAGGGTACCATTTTGGGGTAGGTGCACCCATTTTAGTCCACCCATAGGTGTCCTTTTTGGTGGTTTTGCTTGAACAAAAAGAGGGCGATTCCTGGTTTAGCTTTTTTTTCTTTTAATCATCTACCAGGGAAATCCATCTATTTCCCCGAGAAAAGGACACCTATGGTGAGTGGCTGGGTTTTTGAGAGACTCCCTCAGACTAACATGGCTGTGGGTGAAAACCAATGGGATCCCATTTCGGGGATGTTCACTGGGGGTACGATTTGGATTTTGACCCATGGCCACATGGAAGCTCCCAGAAGCCCTCTAGTACATGGAACCAAGTCTTCCAAAGGGGTCCTGGGAGCTTCTATGGTCGTCTGGGGGAGAGTATCCTTTCATCAGGTACCCCTTTGCTCGGTGGTTTGGGTTGTTGGTTTGGGGATCTGAACCCTTGGTTCTTGTAGGGTAAATAGGAAACCACCCCCCAACCCTCCACAAACCAAACCACCAATTCGACGGAAGTCGATTTCACCTCGCTTTCCAGGGAGCAGGAAACCCGCGATTTATTTCTGTGTGTCTGTATACATATAAAAAATGGTCAAGGGTTCGCAAGTCCCCCCATGGTTCCCAGTCCTCCCACCCCCCCCCCCTCCCCTGTGGTGTGGTTGGGGTGGGGTTTAGGGTTGGTTTATGGTTGGTTTATGGTTGGTTTATGGTTGGTCACCCCATTGTGACACCCAGTTGAATGGCAAAACCATGAATGGGGCATCAGGGTTCCACTTTTGGGTGATCCCCCAAAAATACGGAAACGACAAGACACATTATTTAATGGCATGAATGAACCAACCCTAGGTTTAAGTCCTTTTTGGCGGCATCAAATAGAACCCGGGGCAATGCTGCACCGCAACGGGAGCCGGGGTGGGGTAAGTTAAGGGGGTCTCAGGGGTCCATGGTGTGCGAAGCACAGGGGTCTTCTTAAGGGTGTGCATGATTCACACCCACTTCTTTTTTGGGGGGAGAACGGGGGTCTCAGGCACTTTCCTAGCTCCCGAACTATACATTGCGTGGTGCCAAGCCAATCCTCATAAAGGTTACAAAGTTGTCATACGCATGCCGAGGTTCTGCATGACAGAATGTGCTTTCTCGTAGTGCCTTTCTGGGAATCGCGCACCGTGTCATGTTTTCTGACGAAGATGTTGCCTGGAGGTTCGCAAAGTGTTTGTTTAGTTCCTCAACTATTTCTACTGAAGAACTCAAATGGTCGAAGCCGCTCCATGAGCGAACCGATGTTCTCTCCGGCTGCCCCAGTACTGGGGGCTTGCACATTTGGGCGAGTCTTTAAGAAAACTCACCCAAACGGTGGTCCCTCAAAATCAGGAACCACACGCACTTTGGGGGCAAGCCGAGTATCTTTGGTTTCAAGGCTCCGGATACTTGGGGATGCGCCGTTCTGTGTCCCCTTCCATATCCTCAGAGCCTGTCACTGTAAACAAAACAAAATTCAGACAGACGGACAGACAGACAAACAGGAAGGCAGGCAAGCAAGCAAGCAAACAAACAAACAAACAAACAAACAACACCCTGGAGAGAACCACACAAACACAAACACACTCCCCTTCTCCCCCCCCAAACAAAAAGAACGAAACAAGCAACAGCATGTCTAGACCTCAGACGAAATACCCCAGACAAGAAATCTTAGCAACCATGGTTGCCTCCTAAACATGTGCAAGGAACTTAAACATTTCTTGGGTTTCCTCAAGGATGTTGAGTTTTCCCACCCAAGAATGGTTGCTGACAATTGGTTTTGTTGGGTTTGTAGTTTTCTGTGTTGTTTGTTTCCTCCAGGTTTTGTTCTTGTTCCATGCCAAGAATGGTTGCTGACAGTTGTGTTATTGTTTTTTTGGTGTATGCTGTTTTGGTGTGTTTTCTCTCTTTGTTTTTGGACTTTTCAGGCTTTATTTGTTGTGTTTGTTGTTGTGCAGATAAATTTATTCTCGCATGTCCCAGCACAGAGGTATGTGAAGTCACGATCTTGACATTTTCAGGGTCATGGGTTTACACAGGGCTCTCATCGCTGCTTTGAGCCCAAAACGGAGCAATGCCCATTTGGATTGGCACTGAGGTGCAGCGAGGAGATTATGACCATCGTGGCCATGCCTGGAGCCGAGGGGGAGGGTCAGTCTGAACATTTCTTCAGGGTACCCCATGGTGAAAGTGGGTTTGTGTCAAAAAAGGGCCCCAAAGAGAGTGTGGCTTCCTTTCGCTTTCCCTTGAAACCGACCTGCAAAGGGCCTCTCAAAACCAAGCACCAACACACGAACATTCACACAGGTAGACGGTACAAATCCCCTTATGTAGGCAAGTTTTCTCATCTCCAGGGCAACGGAAGTATGAATCAGACAACAACGTACCCCAGAAATGTGGGCACGTTGCTAGAGGTTCACCAGCGCGGCACGGCTGGGCTACGTCAAGTCTGCCCGGTGCTCCGCACAAATCGCTCTTGGAGCAAAGCTCGGCGTCGATGCCTGTCACTTTGGGACCCAATGGCCCCCCCCCCAAAAAAAAAAACATTTAAAGGCAAACATATGGCCATGGGTCAAATCCCCGTACCCCCAGTGAACCTCCCAATCCCAACTAAAATGGACTAAAATGGGTGGTGCACCTATCCCGAAATGGTACCGTTGGTTTTCAACCATGGCCATAAATGAAATGGTAAGTTATGTTTAATGATATAAACAAATTAAAGCATTTCTAGAAAATGACATGACAACTGTTTTTTTGTTCTGCCTTTGATAGCGGGAGAAGACGAGAATCGGAACATTGGGACCCGGTCCAGGCAAGGGCCAGACAAGAAATGGCTTCTATGGCAAACGACTCAAGCGCACGGAAGAGGATTCCAAATAAGTCGGCCATTCTGTGTGTCTTAAGTTGAGTTCAACTTGGAAACTAAAAGGAACACCTCCCCCTGTCCCCATATGACACGTACGTGTTAGGTCCATTCAAGTCGCGAAGTTTTCAGCATTTCGCAAGACTTGCCACGATTTCCAGGGGCGAAATCTGGATTCCCACGGACCGCTGCCCACGTCCTATGCCATAGGCTCTCCGTGCAGAACGTCTTCTACAGGCCCAAAGACAAGCAGGCGCGTGGCGCGCGGCGCCGCGAAGATGATCAAAGAAACGCAAGTCTGCACTGCTCTTGGTGTGTTTGTTTCCCGGTGTATGTATTTTTTCTTTGGATATATCTGTATATATATATATACATTTCTCTTTTTTGTGTGTTCATGTTCATGTTGTTCAATTGATTTGCTCTGTTCATTTGTTTAGGTTGTTTAGTTGCTTTGTTCTGTTTTCCTTGTTCTGGCTGGCTGCACACACGCACACAAAACCAGTTCGCTGACATGCCAAGGAGGGGAAAGAAGCCATACCCACAAACAGAAGCACCGCAACCACACAACCACACACACACGCAAACAGAAGCGAACAGAAGCGCAGCCCAGAAACAAGACACACACACACACATAGGTCACACATATTCATATATTCACATGTAGACTTTGCTTTGCATGCAGTTGTGAACCGTTAGATGCAGAATGCTTGGAGGTGCAGGAAAGGGATCTCGTTTGATCCAGCATTTGCACAGCCGCCATTTGATGGTGCTGAGTCAGAAAAGATATGGATGCACAGCTGGGCTGCATCTCAACATGTCCAGTGGTTTATGGACCATGTCTTGAGGGACATCGGGAATCTCTCAGTTTGCCACAGAGACCAGGGCACTCTTTGATTTACCCATGCCCATAGAGAGTAGAGCAAACCATGTCGCATAGGTCCTTGTCTTGCTCAAAGGCATCTGCCGAAAGGTGATTAGCTTCATGCGACTGCATTTGCTGGTTTCTGGTGGGACACAACTGGAACTTGACAACAAGAGGTCACCAAGTCGGAAACCTTCGCACCGGCTCGACACACTTGGCGTGACCCAGTTCGAAAGCCGGTGAGGCTTTAGCAGACCAGAAGAAGTCCAAGTTCCACCAGCCGGAAGGCGGTCGCATCGGCTCTTGTGCTGGGTTTTCTTTCCCGCTCCTCCAAAACGACTTGGAGGGTGTCTTTTTGTTTGAGGGTGCCATCGTTTCGTGGTTTAAGTAGCAGCCAAGGGACGTAATTACCCACACTGAAACAGTATCAGCCAAGGATAAAATATCAGTGTACCCCAGAAGAACAAGCCGTGAAGGACATCATGGTTGGAACCATGGTGAAACGGGAGACGGCCAGCCAGACCCACCCTAAGCAACTGGAGGTTGACACACCCTTTTCGCGGGTCCTCCAAGGGCTTTCTCGGGGCCCCGATGTCAAGCTCCCAAGGATCAACTTGACAATATCACAGTGGTTTCAAGGTGTGACTTATACCTTTGAAAAGCCTCGACGCCTTATTGTTTAGTTGTTTCTTCCATTTGTGTGGCCCTCTTTGGCTATGTTTTTCATCGTGGTTCTTCTTAGATTCTTCTTCTTTTTCACCGAAGCCTGCAGGGGATCACGTGCAACAGCATCACGCGTGCAGAGAACAGCAAACAGACCAGGCAATGTGGGCAGATATATATATATATATATATACATACACATGATACATAAATATATGTGTATATATATATATATATGTATATACAGTATATATGTGTGTAGAAATGATTCAGTCAAGTTGTGGCGTCTTATCGAGTTCCTAGGCTATTTGGGGATGGACAGGGGCCTCCACGTCCTTGTCAGCACTCATCCAGAGATTGACCCCTACCCCCCCACATCTAAGAGATTCCATGCTCATCATCCGGCACATTCTTCCAGGGTGTATTTTGCGCTTACCCCAAAACTCACACACACACACACACACACCACCACCGGGGTGATCCAATCGGCCCCTTGCGTGAAAGATGGCTAAAGTAGCTTAGAACTCTGGGTTGGATCTAACCTCTTTTGGGCCATTGGTCGAACCCCGAGCCTGTGCCTACGTCTCCGGCTACGCCTTCGCCATCAGCTACGAAGAAAAGAAGAACGGCCTGCGTGGCCAGTCGTGAGTTAGGCATATTGCGCTTGATCTTCAGGCCCTTCGACATGACGCCCCTGGCCGGCCTTCCTGAAAGCACCACTGGCACATGCAAGGTCTTCTTAGATTGTTGTCTTTGCGGGATATTTTGACGACTCAACCTTTGCCAAATGGCCACCCGCATCCTGTCACTGGGGTCTCCTAACTGGTGTTTAAACAAGAAACAACTACTTTTAGGTTGACTAATGAACAACAATCTGAACATCTCATTTTTGGAGTACTCCAGAGTTGGGCCAAGTAGCCAAAAAGACAGATTTCTCGGGGATGGCTTGGGCGCTTCTGTCGCACAATGGTTTACAAGCCTATGGGCGACAGCCTATGGGCGACAGCGGCTGCCAGCCACTCGCAGGTGACCACTGCACCTTGCTGGAGGTCTACAAGACTTGGGTGCAGACCTCGGACAGGGATGTCCCCTTCGCTCAGATTGGGCTCTTGGCTCAGTGTATGCACCGCCTAAGAAATCCTGGAATGATTCGATTCCCCTGTAACTACCAACAAGCACTGGCTTCCCATGGTTTCAAAGTGGTGCGAAATGGATTTTGTCCATCCACAGTATGTGTGTAAATATATTTGTATGATCTGTTGATATGGTAAATGTTATTGCAAATCGTGAAGAAGGCCTATGTTGGGCCCAAGTTTTAGCAATGGCCATTGTCACCGGCATCAACACGTTCTCGCGAGAACGCATCCAATATCCATCTCCTGCAGTCAACCACTCTTTTCGAGCGGCTTAGGGGGAGAATTGAACACGGCCGAATTAGGGCGTCCATGCAGTAAGACACACCCATGTAACTTCATGTAACCCTTGCAAGGACCATCAAGGCGCCAGGGCAAATTCCCAAGGCTGCAAAGTGCAGTCCTACCTTAAGATTCCCCTTCTTTCTTTCTGTTTCAACATCGCCTTTTGGGCAAATTCAACCCAACTGCAAAACACAAATTTTGAGGGCGTGACCTCTGTTTTGAGCCAAGTATGGCGAGCAGAAGAAACATTTTCGCACGAGCCTGGTTCCGCGTATTTTACTTCAGGTGTGTGGCTTTGTATCCTGAGTTTTCGGCTCACGCTTGACCAGCGGTGTTTGGGGGTTCCTGGACCATGTTTCTTCAAGCAAACGGAGCCCAAATTTTACTCCATGTTCGTGAGGGGCAGAAAGGACCTTCAGCTCAAAAACCCGGTACCAAAATGGAACCCTGGCAAGTGGAAACATGGACCAACACCTGCGGTTTGCCCCTCCTGTTTAACTTTGAGCCACACCCATTGGGCGAGCGCCAAAGGGAAAAGCGCGCTTCGAGACGCGCTTGAGGCCTACAACCGCTTCTCGAACCCTTGGTGTTACGAGAACTTTATCCAGGCCGGGCCGAGTTGACCTTTGGAGTCCGCTGAAGAGAACGACATGGAAGCACCAACACCACCCACCCCCAAAAAACAATGAATGGGAGGACAAGACAGCATATACTCACACGCCAAAACAAAACACACACACACACACACGAACAAACACAAAAAAGTCAGGGCTTCTACTTGCCTACACCATGAACGATGGGGCCCCTCAACGATCCAGGCGCGGAACGGTTGATTGTAGCCTGGGAAAAGGCCATACCAACATTTGACCCACTAGGGTAAATGTAATATGTATATTATATATCTATATATATATGATTATATATGATGTACATGTATTGTCTGGGATGAGAGGCTGCTAGCGTTCAAACGTTGCCTCCAAAACGTGTTATATATATATATGTGCATATATATATATATATATATCCTCTAGAGTTGTTTTTCACAGACGCATGTCCGTACCCCTGGCAAACGATTGGTCGGGACGCCGAAAACGCCCAACTCCCAGTTTCGGGCCCAAAGAAGTGAGGAAACACTCCTGAAGGGGGGTCCGGATCCGAAGAAACGACGTCTTCGCATAGGTGTCCTTTGCTTGGTTAGTTTGGTGAGAGAGGTTCCACTGGTTTAAATTGGTTTGTATGCCCCATTTAACAGGAACCCCAGTTATCTTACAAAAAAAAATTCTGGGAGTGGGTGTCCCTTTGAACCACCAAGAGGTTGTTGTGAAATCGGGATTGCTGCCTTTTGGGCACTTTTTCTCTGCAAGGACCCATGCACATGTACGGCAGCGCCGGAAACAAAGCGCCAGCCTAAACCCTTGGCTCAATCTGAAGCCAGGCACTTTGGACCCAGCGCACATGTGGGTTGGTCTCAAAATAGTGCAAGGGTCCCCAAAATATGGCTTTCCTTTTGGTCTTCCTTCACACCAGCCAAAAAAGGGTAGGCTCACAAAAAGAGGGAGCAATAAGGCTGGATTTTAAAGCCCTGAAGCTTGCGGGAGACCTTCAAACCGCGAGGGAAGCTGAATGCCGAAGCCGGATTTGCGGTCGGATCTGCGGCCGGGTTTGGTGTGACTCCCGATCGGCTTGTTGGTAAGAGCCACTGCAATTCAGCTTCCGCCTAGTTGGTGGTTATAACTATTGGTGGTTTGGTGGTTAAGGGGTGGTTTGCCGGTGAACCTGAAGAACCAAGGGTTGAAATCCCCAGACCAACAACCAAAGCACGCATTAAGGCACAGCTGAGCAAACGGAGCTTCTAGCAAAGCAGGTTGGGGGTTGGAACAACGAACAGGCCCCTTGTTCAAACTGATGTGTTGACGCGATGAAGCGGATTCAATCTTGCAATGGAAGAAGATCAAAGATTTGGAAGATTCATGGTCCCTTTAAGGCTAGGTTCCCCAGTAGTGCCCTTCTCTCCCCTTTCTTGGGGGAGGGTTCCGAACCCCACCAGAATCGACTACAGAAAAAAACGGGTACCCAAAAATTCTATCCTCTCTACTGGAGGACCTAGAAGGATACATTTGAGCCAGCCCAAAGCTCGGAATTTTTTGCCGGTGGCTTAGCCTTTCAAGGAGCCCATTGTCTGATGGTCTCGACAAGCCGCGGCTCCGTGGCAAATGGGACATACAAAAAAGCTCCCAGTACATGGGTTGTTGTTAGGAAGCATGTTGCTTATTTTTGCTTCTTGCGGTTTGGTGGTTGAAATCCCAACAATTGTCGCTCCCCTTCCAACGTCCACCAAGAGTAGGCAACGGTCCTAGTCCATTGGTGCGGTAAAGTCGCCTGCTGGCTGAGACGATGCGAAATCACGCCCCACGTTTTTTCGTGTTTCAAAATGAATGGTCGGTGTCCTTTTGGTTCCCGGTTGAACCACCCAACAGCCATCGAGGGGGAAAATGAGCCATCCTGGTGATCAGGATTAAGAAGCCCTTGTGGGATTCCTTTGAGGTTGCGCAGCATTTCGTATTTGATCCAGATGGTAGTTTCGTGCTTTTCGGCTTGCAAGTTTTAAGGCTTCAAGGCGCCTGGGGTGTATACATGAATGAATGGAATGGAATGGAATGGAATGGAATGGAATGGAATGGAATGGAATGGAATGGAATGGAATGGAATGGAATGGAATGGAATGGATGAATGATTGAAGTAATGACATGACACGACATGACATGAGATGACATGAAATGAAATGAAATGAAATAACATGAAATGAAATGAATGAAGGAATGAACGAACGAACAAATGCATGAATGAATGAACGAAACTTGAAAGAATGAATGAATGAATGAATGAATGAATGAATGAATGAATGAATGAATGAATGAATGAAGAAAAAGAAAGAAATAGAATGAATGAAATGGAATGAAATGAAATGACATGAACTGACATGACATGAAATGAATGGAATGGAATGGAATCGAATAGAATGGAATGAAATGAGTGACTGAATGAATGAATGACGGATTTATTCAAACGGTTAAGCAATCAACTAGTCAATCAATAAATGAACCAGTCAATCAATCAGTCAATCAATCAATCAATCAATCAATCAATCAATCAATCAATCAATCAATCAATCAATACATCAATACATCAATACATCAATACATCAATACATCAATACATCAATACATCAATGATTCATTGAACCAGCGGGTCAACGAATCAATAAATCAATGAACCAATGAACCAGTGAACCAACGAGTCAACGAATCAACACATCAACAAATCAACGCATCACCGAGTCAACGAATCACCGAATCAATGAACACCCAATCAATTAATGAATCAATGAATTGCTGAATCAATGCATGTCTGACTGGCTGATTGATTGATTGATTGATTGAATGAATTAATGAATGAATGAATGAATGAATGAATGAATGAATGAATGAATTAATGAATGAATGAATGAATGAATGAATGAATGAATGAATGAATGAATGGCAGAATGAGTGAATGAGTGAATGAGTGAATGACTGAATGACTGAATGACTGAATCTGAATGAATGAATGAATGAATGAATGAATGAATGAATGAATGAATGAATGAATGAATGAATGAATGAATGAATGAATGAATGAATGAATGAATGATGAATGAATGAATGAATGAATGAATGAATGAATGAATGAATGAATGAATGAATGAATGAATGAATGAATGAATGAATGAACTGATAAATACGCATACCTGCATTTTTTCGGCTCCTGACCCCGTAGCTTTTTGTGAGCCTTTCGAATGGTCAGTCCTGGGTTCGCGTTCTTTGCATTGCATTGGCCATTGTAGGAGGTTCTTGTAGCCACGTTTCACAACCAGGACATTCTACAGGACAAGTGGCCAACTGCCCTGCGGAATTGGTAGATTTTCCTCCTTGGTTTCTGCACTGTGAACCAGGCGACCGCAGGTTTTAGTCCTTGGTTTCATTTACCAGGGTTCCATTTTTGGCACCTACTGTGGATGGACCAAATCCTGCACCACTTTGAAACCATGGGAATCCATTGTTTGTTAGTATTTACTGGGGAATCGTCAGAAACCAGGGTTTCTGAACGGTGCCGCGAAATGGATTTCGCACCCATCCACCGCATTTTTCCGCCCGGAGCCATTGGAACATGCTGCGAATCACTCGGGAGCCCATGGGGCGACCGAATGACTCATAACGGAGCGGACTACGGGTTGTCTCACGGCGCGGCCGACGCCATTTGTCAACCCCACACGCTTGGTCAACGCCCAGCGCTTGCCAGCCGGCAGGCGCGGGCCCTGCGGCGCTCGCAGGCTCGCTGGGACCGGCGGGTCCAGTGGTTTGGCAGTCATGCAGTTTAACTTAGGTTTTGAGTGGTTTTGGGTTGGTCTAGTGGCTGGGTTTTGGTTTGGCAGCCATCCGGTTCAACTTAGGTTTTGAGTGGTTTTGGGTTGGTCTAGTGGCTGGGTTTTGGTTTGGCAGCCATCCGGTTCAACTTAGGTTTTGAGTGGTTTTGGGTTGGTCTAGTGGCTGGGTTTTGGTTGGGCAGCCATCCGGTTCAACTTAAGGTTTTGAGTGGTTTTGGGTTGGTCTAGTGGCTGGGTTTTGGTTGGGCAGCCATCCGGTTCAACTTAGGTTTTGAGTGGTTTTGGGTTGGTCTAGTGGCTGGGTTTTGGTTGGGCAGCCATCCGGTTCAACTTAGGTTTTGAGTGGTTTTGGGTTGGTCTAGTGGCTGGGTTTTGGTTGGACAGCCATCCGGTTCAACTTAGGTTTTGAGTGGTTTTGGGTTGGTCTAGTGGCTGGGTTTTGGTTTGGCAGCCATCCGGTTCAACTTAGGTTTTGAGTGGTTTTGGGTTGGTCTAGTGGCTGGGTTTTGGTTTGGCACCATCCGGTTCAACTTAGGTTTTGAGTGGTTTTAGGTTGGTCTAGTGGCTGGGTTTGGTTTGGCAGCCATCCGGTTCAACTTGGGTTTGAGTGGTTTTGGGTTGGTCTAGTGGCTGGGTTTTGGTTGGGCAGCCATCCGGTTCAACTTAGGTTTTGAGTGGTTTGGGTTGGTCTAGTGGCTGGGTTTTGGTTTGGCAGCCATCCGGTTCAACTTAGGTTTTGAGTGGTTTTGGGTTGGTCTAGTGGCTGGGTTTTGGTTGGGCAGCCATCCGGTTCAACTTAGGTTTTGAGTGGTTTTGGGTTGGTCTAGTGGCTGGGTTTTGGTTGGGCAGCCATCCGGTTCAACTTAGGTTTTGAGTAGTTTTGGGTTGGTCTAGTGGCTGGGTTTTGGTTTGGCAGCCATCCGGTTCAACTTAGGTTTTGAGTGGTTTTGGGTTGGTCTAGTGGCTGGGTTTTGGTTGGGCAGCCATCCGGTTCAACTTAGGTTTTGAGTGGTTTTGGGTTGGTCTAGTGGCTGGGTTTTGGTTTGGCAGCCATCCGGTTCAACTTAGGTTTTGAGTGGTTTTGGGTTGGTCTAGTGGCTGGGTTTTGGTTGGGCAGCCTTCCGGTTCAACTTAAGGTTTTGAGTGGTTTTGGGTTG